GATTTGCGTCCCTAAACTCTTCTCTTTGTTAGTTACATTCTGCCATGTTTAGTATGTTTAGTTGCTGTTTATGTGTTTCCTTTTGTTTGGTGTGAATTTAGGCTTAAAACATTGAGGACAATGTTTGATTGAAGTGTGGGGGGGTAACTAAGTATGTTGATGCAAATTCGTTCGTTGGATTTTATCACCCATAACTTCAAGTGTTGTTCCTTGCTGTTTTAAAATGTTTTTAAGCTGATTTGGAGTGTTTTAGTGTGTTTTGTTTTATAACTCCGAAAATCACATAAAAATTTGAAGGACATATTTTGAAAAGCCTAAAAAGAGTGTTTTGAGTCGTTTTTGTGTTTTTGTGTCTTAGGGTACCTTCCAACACAATGTTGAGGATTTGGTTTTTAATTGCATGACTGTTAAGAAGAGTTATATACATGGAGAAAAGTTTGATATACTCTTGGTATATGCTTGGTTATGGTTATAATGTATGACTTCACATACAATCCTAAAAAAAAAAAAAAAAAATTAGTTTTTGTAACATGCTTGAAGGAAGGAACTCAAACAAACATTACAACCCTGAGAAACTTGAGCTTTAAACATTCTTTGGAGAGTATTAATCTGTGATTCTTGTTTTCAAACTCGTTGCATGATCTCATTATTCTTTGCTTGGTTACTACTTAGAAGGCGTTTCATCATATAGTTCCAAATGCTAGAACTCATGCCCATTTCATTCAAAGCATGTTATTGATTTGCATAACACATATTCAAGAAGAAGTTGTGTAGTGACCACCACCAAAGCCAAATTGCCGTGTATCCTACTTCATTATTTGTTCAAGTTAACCCCGTTGAGCCTTGTTAAGCCTTTATTCCTTGTTAACCCACATTATCCTCACCTAACCTAGTTTAGGACAGTCCACACCCTTGTTCTTAAAAGATAGTGAGCATGACTTAAATGAATTCCTTTTGAGTTACATTATGCAAGAAAATGAGTGTGGGGGAGGGAATGTTTGTTCTTAAGTTTATATGTATGTTTTGAGATTCAAAAAAAAAAAAAAAAGAAGCTTGAAAAGATGTAAGAATGAGTGATGAAGTGTTGAATGTTGAAGAAGGGGTCCAAAACACCAAATCTGGCCCTAAATTGTCTAAATTTTCCCTTTTTGTTTAAAAGTTGAGTTTTCATTCAAAAGTGAATTCTAAGTTGATTCGAATGCTTTGCTCACTATTTCTTTAAGAACCTTTGTTTTCCATATCCCTTCTTTGTTAGCCAAACACCCCAAGCCCCATTACAACCCTTGTCTTCTATCTTGACTGTTGTGCATTTCAATTTGTAGAGTTTGAATTTGGTATGAGCATATGGTGTCACTGGTTCTCGCGTCTAAGTAGTAGCATTCCATTCATGAGATCATATCTAAACATGCTTATTAACTCCAGAAATTGCTTTCTTTGTGATACATATATGTGAGTGTTCGTTTTCATGTTTACATCAATCTTCTCACATATGACTAGATTAGGGTGTGTAGTTAGAAAATCTGAGTGAAAATTGAGTGCATATCTTGTAAGGAATTGAGCAAATTCTCTAAAGCATGTTACTACATTCAAAACATGGTTTTAAATGCTTAATTGTGAACTAGTATGTGGTGACTATGAGTAAGAATGTACTTAAGTGTGAAGATGACTAAAATCTGTGGAGATAACGAATTTTAACATGTCATGTGCATTGGAAATCCCTGAGGCAACGTTGGAAGGTTTAGATTGTCTTTTGTTTGTTTTGTTTCGTTTCGTTTTGTTTAGTTTGTTTGTTTTGCTCGAGGACTAGCAAAAGCTAAGTGTGGGGAATTTGATAGGAGCATATTTATGCGACTTAATTGGCCTGTTCTCGTGCATTTACGTTGTGTTTCTTTAGTTATTTTAGTCCTTTGTGCCATTTTCGTGTGTTTCTAGGTTCATATGGCTAAGGAAGCAAAAAGGTGCAATTTGGAGCATTTTGGAGCAAAATTGGGCTTAGAATGGATAGCTTATGCTTGGAGCCAAAGTGTTGGACGAAATTGAAGCCTTGTATGCACTTTAGGACATAAAACAAAGGGCCTAGCCCAATCAAACAAAGCCTTAGAACCAGAAATTCCCATACACACACAAATTCATCCCTTGCCGTGCCTTCCCTTTCCACTTTCCAGCCTTCCTACTCCTTCATTTCAGCCACACTTCCACATGCATTCATCATCATTCACCATAATCATTCCCTCACATGCTTTCCCAACAAAGAATTCAGCCAACACATGCACCCATCACCCAAAACAATTCATTGCCGTGCACCCCCCCTTGCAATTCCAGCTTTCCACCAACCAACCTAGCTGCCATTCCACATGCATTCCCTCTTTAATCATTCCCTCCTAGCTGTCATATTCCCTCTTTTAATCATTCATCCATCTATAAATAAGCATCCATTGCAGCCACAAAGGGCATTCAATTCCACACCTCCATTCATACACACTTCAACACAAAAACACATCCTGAAACTTCCTTGCCGTGCCTCCCCATTCCATTTCCAGCATTCTTCTCTTTTATTTCCACCACTCCCCAACCCTCCAAAACACTATCCAACCATTCCTCCATACAAACACCAATCCAAAACCTATCCTTAGACCTTGTGCCGCAACAAAGAGGAGGAGAAGGGCCTAAACGTTCATACAATTCAAGTTTGAGTTGTTGGAATTTTCAGGTGTTTTCTTTTCCTTGATTTCAATGATTAAATTTACGTATCTTTGTTTTGTACGTATGAGGAACTAAACCCCCCATAGCTAGGGGGTGATTCGAAACTATGTTTACGCTTGCAATATGAATTGATTACCTTTGGTTGGAATTTCATGAGTTGTGGATTCAATTTGTTTAACTATTTGATTGATAACCTATTTATGTATGTTTATTGAGAGTGCACGCTTAATTATCAAGCATGAATATGACGCTAAAATATAAGTGAGTTTCACCTAATAGTTATGAACTTATATTCACAAGTAGTGGAGGTTGCTTATAAACAATCGCGTTAAGTAAATTCTTGGCATAAGTTTCATGCAATTCATAGTAACGAATGCCTCGTCAACACTTATAGTTTTCATGATGCTTAATGATTCTTGCTTGTATCTCTATTATGCAATTCATGTAGGGAACTTGTGGGGAATGCTTTGGGTTGTCGCATGCAATCATCCAATTCATTAACTTAAGGAAAACTTGACGGTTAATTTAAGCGGACCTAATTAACCCGGGGTGTTGAGTTTCATAATTCATCGAAAGACCAACCGAAAATCATCTTGTATGCAAGTGTAACATGTGTGGAGAAGAACCTTCTAGCTAGCATTCATCCATATTTTCATCACATTCATATTTACATTTTGCCCTTAATTACAATCTGTGCATTTTAGTTTAATTTTGTCAAAACCTCAATCCCCCCCCCCATATTTTGTTTAGTCTTAATCTATCTTATTTTGTGTTTTTAAGTATTTGGAGTCTTGTGGACTTATTTTGAGTTTTCGTTAAGTGAATTAAGTGTTTAAAGATTAGTTTTATTTATTTGAGTCAAGTGCTTAGCACCCCTAGTTAATCCCCGATTAGAACGATCCCTACTTACATCATTACTACAATTGTCACAAATAGGGTTTAATTTATGTGTCACATTTGTAACGCATCATTGCTTACCGAAGAATGCCATTTGGGTTGTGCAATGCTCTAGCTACACTTCAATGTTGCATGATGAGTATATTTTCTGATATGGTTAAGCGTTTTTTGGAGGTTTTCATGGATGACTTCTCTGTTTTCGGGTCTTCATTTGAGGAGTATTTATATCATTTATCTCTTGTTCTTAAAAGATGTGAGCAGACCAATCTTGTATTAAACTAGGAAAAGTGCCATTTCATGGTCACTTGAGGAATTGTTCTTGGCCATGTGATTTCCAGTAAAGGTATTGAAGTAGACAAGGCAAAGGTTGATTTGATTGCTGGCCTTCCTTCTCCGAAATCGGTAAAAGCTATTCGATCTTTTCTAGGCCACGTGGGATTTTATAGAAGGTTTATTAAAGATTTTAGCAAATTTTCTTGACCTCTCTGCAGTTTACTTGCCAAGGACATTGCGTTTATCTTTGATGATGATTGTATGGAAGCTTTCACTAAGCTTAAGCATCTATTGACGTCTGCACCAATTATTCAGCCTCCGGATTGGTCTCAGGCCTTCGAACTTATGTGTGATGCATCCGATTTTGCTGTTGGTGCTGTTTTAGGAGAGCGATTGAACAAGCTTCCATCAGTCATTTATTATGCCAGTCGAACTTTGACCGATGCTTAAATTAATTACTTTACTATAGAGAAAGAGTTGTTGGCTGTGGTCTTTCCATTAGATAAGTTTCGTTCATATCTAATTGGTTCCAAAGTCATAATTTACACTAATCATTCCGCCGTGAAGCATCTGATGTCCAAGAAAGATGCAAAACCTCGTTTGATCCGCTGGGTGTTGTTGTTACAAGAATTCAACGTTGAAATTAGAGACAAGAAGGGTTCTGAAAATGTAGTTGCAAATCATTTGTCTCGAATTATTACAGGCAATGTTAATGATCAAGTTTCATTAAATGAATCTTTTCCGGACAAGCATTTATTTTCAATTTCGCAGTTACCTTGGTACGTTGATATAGTTAACTATCTTGCAACTAGTGCAATTCCTAAAAAATGGAATAAGCAAGATCGATCCAAGTTTTTATCAGAGGTTAAGCACTTCTTTTGGGATGACCCTTATCTTTTCAAGTATTGTTCTGACCAAGTAATTCGAAGATGCATCCCTGATCATGAGGTTCAAAGCATTCTCTCTTTTTGCCATAGTCATGCTTGTGGTGGGCATTTTGGTGCCAAAAGACAGCAGCAAAAGTTCTTCAATCGGGTTTCTATTGGCCTCTTATTTTTTGTGATTCTTATGTAAATTGCTCTTCATGTGACCTTTGCCAACGAATGGGAAATATCTCTCATCCGAACATGATGCCCTTAAGCAATATTCTTGTTGTTGAATTATTTGATGTGTGGGACATTGATTTTATGGGGCCATGTCCTCCATCCTTTGGCAATCTTTACATTTTAGTGGTTGTTAATTACGTGTCAAAATGGATTGAGGCGGTTGCAACCAAAACAAATGATCATGCTGTTGTGGTTCGGTTCCTTAAAGCTAATATTTTCTCTCGGTTTGGCACTCCTCGAGCTATAATTAGTGATGGTGGTACTCATTTCTGCAATAAGCCATTCGAATCATTGATGAAGAGTATTCAATAACTCATAAAGTTGCCACACCTTATCATCCTCAAACCAGTGGACAGGTTGAAGTTTCTAATTGCGAGATTAAACAAATTTTAGAGAAAACTGTTGTCCAGATCGTAAGGATTGGTCTCAAAGGTTGGATGATGCACTTTGGGCTTATCGAATTGCTTTCAAAACTCCTATTGGCATGTCTCCATATAGGCTTGTTTATTGGAAAGCTTGTCACCTACCCGTTGAGCTGGAACATCGTGCATATTGGGCTATCAAAACCTTCAACTTCGACATGAACAAGGCTGGTTCTCAGAGGCAGTTACAACATAGTGAACTGGAAGAGCTTCGTAATGATTCATATGAAAATGTTAAGATTTACAAAGATATGACTAAGTTGTACCATGACAAATCTATTCTTTGCAAGTCTTTCACACCTGATCAGAAAGTGTTGTTGTATAATTCTCGCTTGTGTCTCTTTCCAGGGAAATTACACTCTTGGTGGTATGGACCTTTCGTTGTGCTAAAGGTGTTTGAGCATGGCGCTGTGGAGATTAAAAATCCTACCGATGGTACTATTTTCAAAGTGAAAGGTCAGAGGTCAAAGCCATACTTCGATTGTTGGAACTTGAGTTTTATGTGGGACTCCAAGTCCCATGTCGCCCAAACAGCCTTATAACTTCTTTATAAGTGAGTTCACTCACTTATAGTTTGAAATGAATTGGGCCAAAGCCATGGACCTTGGGCCTTAGACATGGAGGGTTTGGGTGTATATATTAAATGTCAAAGATGGGCCTCGAGCTTTGGGGCTCTTGGGCTCGGATGGACGAAAAACACAAGTTACGTTTTTGATTTTTTGGATTCAGTTTTTTCTGAAAGGATAAAACCGATTGAACAGTTACATTCAGTTTTTAAAAAAAAAAAAAAACTGATAAGCATGAACGGTTGTATTTGTTCAAATTATGCCATTATATATATGGCAATAAAATTAGAAACTGGATCATCAATTTCATTTTCCTTCTCCATATTTCACAGAGAAACGCTCAATCAATTCGCCAAGAATCCAAGTTTGTGTGTAAGAACTTGGATTAGATAGTTGTATCCTGCAAGATAGACGTCCATTTGAACTACTGCACTGGTGTAGGGGCGTATTTCTGTCTTAGGAGATTGCTACTGCAAGCCTCTATCTTCCTAACCAAGTCAGTGTTTTGTGGTTTATTAATTCAGTTTTATTAATTATTTATATTGTGAGATATATACATTGTATCCTTGTGAATTTTCTATTCGAAATAAACCGTGCAATTGTTGTATAATAAATACTTGACATTTGATTGGTTTTTAACACTTCGAACCTCCAACCGAGCTTGCCTTTGTCAAAATTCTCTTGACTGATCCATTCTATATGAAGTGATTCCTTGTCTTGTCTAGCCCAATTTCTTTTACTTCCATTTTTTTTTCTTTCAAAGTTTTATTTTTTGTTAGTTTTTCCATTAGGTTGCTTATCTGCTGTTGTTTGCTTACTGTAGTCAGTTATGTTTTTGCAGATTTTGGTTGATATTAGACTCTGATCGTGGAGTTGATGTAATGTGTTTGGTGGTCTCAAGTTACGACAAGGAGCTGCATTTCCAAACAGGGAAGTTCCCTGACTTTTTTTATTTTTTTTCTTCTCTTTGTTTTATACTCCTATTCCATATTTCTTTGTGTCCCAATTACATTGCATTTCTTTACTTTTAACATTGAGGACAATATTCGATTCACGTTTGGGAATAGGGTATTTTAATTTCGTCTTTTAAAAGTTGAAATTGTGACATCCTGTTCCGAGTTTATAAAAACGTACGTGTGAATTGACCTTTTTACCCCTAGTACGTTACATTTACGTTTAGTGTTGTTTTGTGTGGTGTGGTATGTGTTGGACCACACACACATCCTGTCATTTTCCCTCTCCCTCTGCCTTTCCCTGATTCCCTCTCCCGTGTCTCTTCACTGTCTCTCTCTCTCTCTCCCCGAGCTCCACTCTTCTTCTTCTTCCTTCAAACACACACGGCCAAACCTCAAAGTCACCCAAACCATCACTCTCCGAGGAAACCAACTACACCATTGAACTCGTGAAGCTTGTACGAGTGCAACCATACCATTTTCAGGTGAGAAATCCTTCATTTTCATGTCGATTCGAGGTAGTCCGATTTAGGTACTATTCATGCAAACTTAATCTCGCATGTTTTTGGGATTTTGAAGCTTGTAGATGTCTTAGTGAGGTCCCAAGGAGCCTCGGAGTGCTTCGTTGGACAAATTTGGACGTCGGGATAGCTTGGTTCAAAGTTGGCCGGAGCTTTCGAGGCTTTTTCCGGCGAATCCACGGCGAGTTAGGGGTAAAGTAAGGTATGGATGTGTTCGTCTCGTCAATACCTTCATTTTGATATAAAGAACGTCGAAAATGATTAAGAAATGAAGAAGTTATGACACTTTGAAATTTACCCAGAAATTCCGGCAAAACACCCACCTCCGGCGAAACCAGTCCGGCGACGCGAGGAAGAAGACGCGCGCGTGGGTAGCGCGTGTACAGGGCGCGTGGGGGCGCGTGAGAGCTCCAAATTGAGTTCTGAAAATTGTCACGCGTTCGTGACGTCGTGTAGATCACCGTGGTATATTCACACACCCAAATCGAGCAACGTATGAGAAAGTTATTGACGAATGTTTGGTGTATGTGCGTTAAATAACGTCGATTTGGTTACTTTTTGTATAGGTGAAAAATTATACAGAAGAAGAATGTAACCAATCTAGGGGAGGCTCAGGGACCTACGAGACGTCGATGTGATCTGTGAGTGGGCAGTTACTTTTCAGTATATATATACGTATGCTTGACGTATTTTCCAGAAAACGTATTTTAAAAGAAATACGAATTAAATATCCTGTCATATATGCATCATATTTAATATGTGCATTACCATAATTATGCATACTGTTGCATGGTGTTGAGGAGGCCCAGGTAAGCTACATTTGATATACATTTGATATACGTATGAAATACATTTGATATACGTAGGAGATACGATTGAGATATTATGCTGATAACGATCATGAGATATGATTGAGACATGAAGAATGATATGATAGAGATGTGATAGAGAGCTCATAACCTGATCCCCGGTGTTAGTTCTCGCCTTGAGCAGGGCCAGCCTTCACGTGATGTTCACCTCCCCCGCACCTTATGCTCAGCTTGAATCCAAGCTAGGTGCATAGCCTGTCGTACAGACCACATGAGGTGGTTCTGACTCGTAGGTGACGTGCGATTAATCGCCCAGCTTCACGTGATCGTAGCACTAGAGCGTATTTATACGCAACACCCAGTCCTGTCGTACAGACCACATTAGGTGGTTCCGACTCGTGGGCAGGTTCAGTTGTTTAGTTATTAAGATTGAGATTTGAGCTCTAGATTCAGCCGTACAGGTCACTTTAGGTGACTCTGGCTGCCAGTAACATGTTATGGATATGGGTTATACCTGAGCACTTGCATATCATTATGAGGCTTTGATTGGCATACCTTTGAGCTTGATTGACATATTTATACATACGTATATATGTTTATTTTCTGGGAAAGTATACATGTTTTACGGAGAGGGGTTACAAAGTTTTGAGAAGTATTTGGACTTGGAAAAGATTTGTTTTACTGACCCACTCAATTTTGGTTTTGCGCCCCTCCAGGTTCAAGAATTGCAAAGGTGTGGTGACTACGAGGAAATTCAACGGTATTCTGACAGAATGGACCAAATGAGGACTCACCTTCGGGTGGTTCATCTTAGAAGTTGTATATTTTAAAGCTTCCAAACTGTGTAAATGGTTACGTCACTCTCACGTGACGGCCAGCATGCCCTCCTTCGGGACGGGGTGTGTCAGTTGGTATCAGAGCTTAGTTTCAATCTTGGACATCTTGAGAAGTTCTAGTGAATTCTGTCAGAACTACACCGCCTCGTAGCAAACCACGTAGTTAGAGGAACTTAGTCTCCCTGATTTAGCTGTTAAGGGAAACTATTATTTTGGGTGATTCAGTATATCATCTAAAGGGACATTTTAAGATGGGTTATGAGTTGAATTTGAATCACCTTATGAAATGATGAACCTGAGGGAGCAAAGTGATGGATTAACCAATTGGAAAAGATGTTTTAGATTATGCAAGTCAAAGGAATCTTCCTTTTGACAGAAGTGTTGAGACGACTACCTAGTTTGAGTTATGAACTTGTATCCTGGTGGAAACAGGAGTATAATTCGTTGTCACCGGAGGAAACAGCCGATTGAGAATTGTTTAAGGACTTGTTTAAAGAAAAGAATTATTCCTTCGGCATCTTATGATGGTAGAAAGCAAGAGTTTGCAAATGTGAGACAAGGAAAGCTGACGATCAATGAGTATTATAGAAAGTTCTCAGACTTGCCTAATCCCATTCCAATATTGTTGCTATGTTGATTGAAGTGTTATATTGTTTTAGGCTGGGTGGCATAAGGCAGTGGTATTTTGGGTGACCACTATCCATTGTAATTCTTACCAGGAGTATACAAGATGTTGTTGAGCCTTAAGGACTTGGAGATATTGTCCATTGATAATGATGAAGAAGAATAAAAGAATGGGAATCAGAGGAATGATGACATGGATAAAGGCCAGTCATCTTGAGAACCTCGAAAGATTCGGAACTTCAAAAGAAGTGAAGCTAATTCTAGTTCTTTGGCAAAGGTTTTAATGCCATTGACCAGAGGCGAAGTGATAGATGTATTGGTAATCCCAGATCTCAGAGACAAGGTGATTATGATAAAGGAAATGTACCTTTGTGCGGTAGGTACAATAATGGACACCTTTGAGAATGTAGGCGAGAAAGCAGTGGACGCTTTACAAGTGGATAGATGGGACATAGAACTGCAAATTATGTCCAAAGCCAACAGAAGTCCTAGTAGTCTTCTTTGCCACAACTAGCGCCAATCCAGCAAGTTCCTGGATCTATTAATTATGGTCAGTTAGGCCGTGGTGTACATGAGCGAAGTATTTACACTAACAGAGGTTGTGGGAGACGACAACAAGCCCAGGGATGTGTTAACCACACATCACTGCAAGATACTCAGAATTATTCGGATTTGATTAGGAGTACGATAATTATTCTTAATGACTTAGCTAGAGTCTATTTGTTAATAATGTAGAAATTTTTATGTTATGAATGATATTGCCTAGAAAGTAGTAAATAAACGCGGTTGAGACGTGTGTATGTATTTCCCAATGAGTGGCAAAATAGTATTATTACACCCTCGAGAGTTGTTGCTTACTTATCGAGACAACGATGATTTATCAGTATTGCGGGCTGCAGACCGTAATATTAATAAATTATTCGTGGATTCGTTAAGCAAGTAAAACGGTAGGTTATCCTATGTTAGTATCGTACTTATTCAGAGTGCTCAGTAATAGTAGAGTATGTATTGTTACCAGCTACTTTTGTTCCATTAGATTGTGGATTTCGATGTTATTCTAGAGCATATTATGTTATATACAGGGATGAGTTGCAGACCACGCGAGGTGGTACTGAATGTGTGCAAGATATACATGATATGATGAGTTAATTATGAGTTATATATGTAGTCGAGGGCTGAGTTGATTAGAATGAAAGAGTATGAGCTATGTTTATAGCCGAATGTTGAATTGAT